GGGGGGGGCGGAAGCCATTGAGGGCAATCATGAATGTCAGGGACAATGGAGGAGGAAGATGGGACATGGCAGAGGGTGGGGATGGGGAACCTAGGATGGCAAAACAAAAGGCAAGGTATGCAGGACACAAAAATTGGGAAATCATTTGCTGAGAACATATATGTTGATGTGCTTGATTGAGCCAATGCACAGTGTATTTTGGATGGAAAATTCATATGTGTGTTGTGATGAGAAAAAAAAATTTATAATAAAAAACAAAGTATAAAAAAAAAAAAAGGAGGGAGAAGAGGATAAAGACAGCAGTGAACAATAGAGAGGCAGGATGTTAATGAGAAATAGATATGGTTTATTACCTGTTGATGATGACATGTATAGTATTCTCAACTGAACCGGTCTGGGAAGTATTTCATGATGGGTGAAGTCTTTTTAATAAGCAAAATGAGAAATAGTGATTGACTGTTTAAAAAATTATAATAATAATTATTGGGAAAAGCATGGAAAAGATATTGAATGATAAAGCGGGGAGATTGATATCTCTGTATTGACTGACATGCATGGCATTCCCTTTTGAAAAAGCAATGGAAGTCAATGTAAAGTTATATGTAATCTAGTGTAATAGAAAGAAGATTATGATGATAATAAAATAAAAAAAAAAATTTTTAAAATAAAAAGTTAAATAAAATAATTCCTAAAAAAAAAAAATGAGAGACCAATCATAGGGAAGGGATAATATAAACAATCACACTGTTGTAAGAAATGTTACAACTTTAAGAAAGGTTATAAAGGTACTCCTCTAGATGTACGTTTAATAGCAGATAGGGACTCTTATCTAATATTTACATGCAAGGACTTCCCCTTATTAAGTTTTGTCTTCTAACCACTGTAATTCCTAAGTATTCAAACCAGCAAGTGTGTGTGACCTTTATGTAATCAAACACTAGACTCACTTATTTAAAAGTTCAATCTCAAAAAAAAAGGGGGGGGAGCAGGTGGCATGGTGGTTAAGGGTGTTGGACTCCTACATGGCCAAAAGTGGTTCAAGTTCCGGCCCTGGTGGCTTGCTTTCTTATTTTCCCTCTCTCTCACTCTGTCCCTCTCTTATCAAATCAAAATAAATAAAATAAATAAACTTAAATAATTCTTTAAAAAAAAAAAAAGACCCGATCTCTTCAAAGCATACAAACTTTGCAATTAGAGTAGTTACTAATAGTACCTATACAAGACATACTTGGACTTACAAAGATACAAATAAAAGAACTGTTAAGTCGAATTGAGTACAGGATACAAAGAATTCATAGTTTCCTTGCAGACAAAAAATTCATCCTGCAATTAATCATTAATCTCACTTACAACTAGAGTTTGTATAAAAGTACTATCCGCCTAAAGAAACCAGGCTACTATTTTAAAAGGGGGAAAATGGCTCATTAACTACTTCCCCACAGGTGATACACCCTTTATTTAACACATGCAGAGCATAAGTGCCTCAAGTAAGCATTTGATGAAATTATAACAGCACAAATAAAGAGCTATCCCAAGTTAGTATGCCATCCACACAAACTTGCTAATTTTGCTGTCATGCTAATCTCATAGGTTTAGTGTTGGTATTATGTTATTTTAAAACCAAGATGACTACAGGAATATTTAAGTGCTTGCACTGAACTAAACCCCAAGCTACATATTGCTCCAGAAGCTCCAGCTCATGTACACATACAATTGCCAATCATTAATAAAGTACAACTTTATTAAATACATACTGTAAAGTGTGTAGTTTTTCCTGGTTGTAGAAGGGACCTTCAACTTTAGATTCTGCCAACAGCAACAGTAAATGAATTATCTACTGCCATTGATCACTCCAAGATTAAGAAGCTTCACATTACAGGTTCTTCTTAACCAGTTAATACTTTCTAAATTATCCAACCAATGTTTAACCAGACGGCCCTGAAAGAATAAATCTGCCACTATCATTACCCCAAAAAGGACATTACCAATGGTATTCTACAACTTACTAAAGTTTTTGTAGTCTTATTCATACTGACCAAGAAAGTAATAAATATTGTCACTTTCAGAAATAGTCCCCCTTTTACATCGTTACTAAGGCCAATGAGGGTGCCAGCAGGTGGTGTAGTAGTTAAGGTGCTGGACTCCAACATGACTGAGCGCAGTTTGAGTCCTGGACCCAAAGGCTTGAAACTCATGTCAGGCCCATGTGTGTGCACGCCCAAAATTCCCAGGAGGAAAATGAAAGAGAGGAGATGGCAATGTGACTATCTTCTCTGGTGAGTGATTTCTTGCTTTCTTTTTCTCTCTCTCTCCAGTGAGCACACACACCCTATAGAAAAAGTTTCTCTCAAATAAATCAATAAAACTAAGGCCAATGAGAACAAATTGCAAGCATTATAAATCCAAATATTATTATAGTGGCAAGATGGCATGAATTGGACACCATTAATCTTTTTTTTTAAGTTTATTTATTTTTTTCCATGAATAAGGGAAACAAAGAGACAGAAACACAAGAAAGAAAGCACTCCCAAGAGGCTCTTGATACTGCAATCCACACCTGCTCTCAGCCAGTCTTAGATCATGGGCAAGCATGTGCCCCTTGTACTTAGGAAGGTCTTCAAAGTTGAACCAGAACGTTCCCAGATGGGCCTGCCTCAAAGAGTGTCTCAATTTACTGGGATCGGCAAGTGGCATGGTAGTTAAAGGCGCTGAACTCCCACATGGCCGACCACGGTTCAAGTCTGGGACCTGGTGGCTTGCTTTCTCACTTCCTCTCTCTCTCTCTGTCTCTCTGATCAAACTGAAAAATAATAATGATAATAATAATAAATAAAGTTAAATAAAATAATTCTAAAAAAAAATAATTAAAAAAAAAGTGTCTCAATTTACTGAAGTGCCAATGTCAGACCCTAGGCAGCAATCGTCAATAAGAACCAGGGACTCAAAGACTTCCTCAAAGCTGTGTAATGATTCAGTTTCCCTGGCTACAACAATCTGTTTACCCTATTAACAGAAGTTACTCCCTTACCCATAGATAAAGTATAACGGCAATTTACCTTCAGGTGACAGAGTGGTCACTAAAAACCAGTCAATAATGAGGCCAACAAGTGGGGTGGTGGTTGAGGAGCTGGATCCCACATGGCTGAATGTGCAGTTCTAGACCCAGTGGCTCGAAAAACACTCCGGGCACATCTGTGTACATGCCCAAAATACCAAGAGAAGAATGGAAAAAGGACTGCTACATGGCCATCCCCCAGGGGTGGGGTGATTTCTCACTCCCTCCACCCAATGAGTGCAAATTTTCCATAGCAAGAAAACACAAAAACCTAATAATCTAAGAGAACCCCAACATTTCAGAAAATAACTGAAAATCTATCACATTTATTCTGATATGGGTATAAAGGTTTCCAAGGAATGCTATACACAAGCAGAAACAATGGATCTCATCACTCCTACTGTGACATCACTTTCCAAACTTCCTTTCCCTTGCTTCCCCCACCTACAAACAGTGTAAGTTATAAAACAAATTCTTTCCAATTCGTTCAGTTGATGCTGAGAGAAAATAGTTTTGACAACAGAATGTCAGATTTATTAATGAACTTGTACAATACCTGGAATCATCTGTTACTTCTTCAATAAAGCCTGATTCACATCTGGGACAAATATATTCCTATAAAAGAAAGGAAGAAATAAATATTTTTTTTCTATTAGAAGGCTAACTGTGTAGTTTCATAACAATATACAGTTCAAAAAAATATATTCAGTTCACAAACTAATGCTTTGAAATGCTGTCTACTTAAAGACTTCCAGAATTTTCACTGTTATACCCTACACAAACATAGAATTTCAAAAGATGTTGGGATTAACAGTGTAATGGCTATGTCACTGGACTCCCATGTAGTCGACCATGGTTCAAGTCCCGGAATCGGTGGCTTGGACTCACGCTAGGCAGGTGAGCGTGTGTGCCCAAGATCCCGAGAGGAGAAAGGAGGAGAAGGGATTAAGGCATGGCCATCTCCCCTGGAGGGTGATTTCTCGCTTTTCTCCCTTCCAGGGGGGAAGGCCATGATGCAATCCCTTCTTCTCTATTCTCTTCTCAGGATTTTAGGCATGCACATTCACATACGTGTCCAGCATGAGTTTCAAGCTGCCAGGTTTGGTACGCAAACCGCAGTCACCCATGTGGAAGTCCATGGGTGGACCACTATGTACTTGCCTGTCCTAGTTTAATTTACTTTTTAACTGGAACAAGTTTATCATCTAATTTTCTCTTTAAGTCTAACAAACAAGCTCCATTATGTACAACAGAGCAATAAAATATTATAATAATGATAGGCATAGAAATTGCTATTTTTGGACCATCCTGTGGTATGGTGGTTAAGGCAGCTGGATTCTCCCACATGCTGATTGTGTGGTTTGATTCCTGAACCTACCAACGCTGAAATATGCTGAGTGTATATTCTTGCATGCTCAAAATCCTGAAAGGAGGGCAAGATGGAAGAGAAGGAATTGTAAGTGACGATTCTCCATGGCAGCCGGGGAACACTTTCCCTTTTGTTTTTAAGTAATTATTTATTTAATTTATTACCATTTTAAATGTGCTAAAGGGCACATACAGTCACCAAAGAGAGGTAGAGAGAGAGAGAAAGAGGGAAAGTGAAAAAGAAAGCTATTAGGACTGGGACTCGAACCATACGCCTTAACCACCATGCCACCTGCTGACCCAGAAATCACCTTTTGCTTTTTTGGAGAGGCTTTTGCTATAGGGTGAATGTGCTTGCACTCACCAGAAAGACAGAGAGGGACAGAGAGACAGAAAGTGAGAAGTCACCCCCTAGGGGGGATGGCCATGCCACAATCCCTTCTCTTCAGGATCTTGGGCACACACGCACAGGCGCCCGGCATGAGTTTAAGCCACTGGGTCTGGGATTCAAACCACGGTCAACTACATGGGAGCCCAGCAACATAGCCATTATGACGTCGGGGCCCGAGAAATCGCTTTTTTTTTTTTTTTTGGAGAGGTTTTTGCTATAGGGTGTATGCTCTTGCCAGAGAGAGACAGAGAGATAGAAAGTGAGAAACCACCCCCCAGGGGGGATGGCCACGCCGAAATTCCTTCTCCTCCCTTCTCCTCTCGGGATCTTGGGCATGCACGCACACACATGCTCCTGGTCACCAGGTCTGGGACTTGAACCGCGGTCGGCTACATGGGAGTTTAGTGACATAGCCATTACACTAACTGCTGGTCCCAGAAATTGTTATTTTTTACTATGTACATCCAGGAGATAAACTGAATCACAGCATAAATCAATTTGTAGCCTAGGAAATTACAGTGCAACTTTATAATATTTCTAACCTATTTTCTGATTATCAATGGTTAAAAAAAAAGTAATGGTCTCAGGCATTCTACAGAAACAATAATTCAAATAACCAAAACAACTTCATTAAATCAGGTCCTATTTTATTAGTAATAAAAATCTTTCTTTTAAATATCAAGTTTTGGTAATAAGTAACATACTTCAGAGACTGCTTTAACATAGTTTAACTGAAGGAGATGCAGGCTGTATTTGGCTGCTCACAAGTCAGAATGGTAACTCAAACATTCGAATGTTTTCAAAAAGAAATAGAAAAAAAGACCAATCCCTCATGCCAAGGAGATTAGTTTGATAAGGTGACAGTCAGGCCAATGAACACTAAAACTTAATACCTGCTATAATCAATGAACACTTAAAACAGAAAAATCCTACATTTGCCTGGGGAAATAAAGACAAGCTCTGACTGAAAAAGAGACGTGGTTGTTCATTTGGTAGAAAAGAAAATTATGAATTTAAGGACCATGATAATACAAAATAGTATGCATTGAGGTTGGAGGAGAGTGGTATGACTATGGATATGCAGGACAGACAGACAGGGACTGGACTGCAGAATAGTTCAGATTATCATGGGATTTTATACCCTGTGGATCAGAAGCTCTCAACCTTTTTTCTCCACTCTATACATGAAGGATGAGACATACTTATAATGGGCACACTGTGAACAACTTCCGAAATAAAATAATCTGGAGACCACATAAATCCCTGAGTCCTCCCCTCCCTCTACTTCATTCCCCACCCTCTTAGGTAGCTGAAACCCCAACTCTTTCTCTACCACTGAAAAAGTCTATCTGAATGCAGTGAGACTGGTTTTAGAAGGCTAACAGTAAGTCTAATCTAATGTCTGCAACTTTAAAATAAATAAATCACAAAATGTAATTCATCATAATCATAGTGCTCAGCCTTCTTTCTTCCTTCTCCCTCTCGTTCATTCCCATTGCTTTAAATATTTCTATACACCAAGAACTCCCAAATACGTATTTTCATTCTAGGCCACTCTTCTAAATTCCAGATTTGTTTATCTTCACATTCATTATCTCATACAGTCTTGCTTTCTTACATACACATGCACACACACCCTCAAGAGGGGGCATACCAGTTTGCTCATACTAAAAACCTAGGAGTCATTTCTGATACCATTTCTCTCTTCTAACCCATCATCAAGTCCTGGCATTCTTAACTTGGAACACATTTCTCAAAACTATCTATTCCTTGTTCTGCTGCCACCTCCATAATCCAAGCCAGCAGTGGCTCTGAGCAATGAATAACTTCCCTCCTAAGTCATGCCCTGCTTCTCTTTGAGCTCTTTCCTACCTGGTTTTATATACTCAAGTCAGACTGTCTGTTTTAAAACATAGAACAGACTATGTCATTTCCCTGCTTAAAAATCTTTCAATTATTTCCCAAAACACGTAGAGCAAAATCAAACTCTTTTTTTTTTTTTTTTTGAGAGGATTTTCACTACAGGACGCGTGCACTCGCCAGACAGAGAGAGACATAGAGACAGAAAGTGAGAAATCACCCCCCCGGGGGGATGGTCACGACGCAATCCCTTCTCCTCCATTCTCCTCTTGGGATCTTGGGCACGCACGCACACGTGCCCGGCATGAGTTTTAAGCCACTGGGTCTGGGACGCAAACTGCGGTCGACTATGTGGGAGTCCAGCGACGTAGCCATTACGCTAACTGCTGGTTCCCAAACTCTTTTTTTCGAGAGAGATTTTTGCTATTGGGTGTGTGCACTCACTAGAGAGACAGGAAGCAAGAAATCACCCTGCAGGGGCAATGGCCATGCCACAATCCCTTCTTCTCCATTCTCTTCTAGGGATTTTTGAGCATGCACACACATGTGCCTGGTGTGAGTTTTAAGCCACCAGGTCCAGGACTGGAACCATGGTCAACAATGTGGGAGTCCTGTACCTTAGCCACATCATCTACTAGTCCCTAAAATCAAACTCCTAAACATGACTTACAAGGTTCTAATTCTGCTGGTCTCTACTCTACCTATCCCATTTTAGGTTACCTTTTCCTTCCCTCAGTGCATTCCAGCAATACTGGCTTGCTTATTTATTTGTTTGTTTGTTTTAAGTTTTTTGCCATAGGGCATGTGCACTCCCCAGAGAGCGAGCCCACAACAGAGAGAGACACAGAGAGGGAAAGGGAGAAATCACCGCCTAGGGAGAATGGTTACACCACAATCCCTCCTCCCCCATTCTCATCCTGGAATTTGGGGCATTCATGCACAAGCACCTTGTTAAGAGTTTCAAATTGCTGGGTCCAGGACTCATTCAAAGCATGGTCAGCCACCTGAGATTCCAGCACCTTAACCACTATGCCACCTGCTGGCCCCAACTACTGGCCTTTAAATTCTTCTGACTCATCAATTCATCACATCTCAAAGATTCCCATAATTGAAACACTATTTCTCTAGCTTTCTGCATAGTGAAGGGCTTCTAATCCTGTAGATCTCCATTTTAATATCACTTAAGGAAGGACTTTTTTTATTGCCCAATCCAAAGTGATTGTCTCTATTTTCTTCTACTGTATCTTGTTCATTCTTTTATGGTGCTTAACACATTTCAAATTTTTTTCAGTAATTAATTTTATTATTATTATTTTAATTCACCAAAGAGAGACAGAGACTATGGAATAATTCTATTTATCATCTCAGAGACTGCAACTGTGGTCAACCATGTAGGAGTCCAGCACCTTAACCACCAGTCCACCTGCTAGTCCTACAATTTGTAATTATAGATTTGTTTCATGCTTTTGTCAATGTCTGTCTGCGCTCAGTCAGTTCTACATTTCAAAATGGCAGGGAACCAGCAATTAGCGTAATGGCTACGTTGCTGGACTCCCACGTAGTCGACCGTGGTTTGCGTCCCGGACGCAGTGGCTTAAAACTCACACTGGGCGCATGTGTGTGCGTGCCCAAGATCCCGAGAGGAGAATGGAGGAGAAGGGATTGCGGCGTGACCATCCCCCCTGGGGGGTGATTTCTCGCTTTCTGTCTCTATGTCTCTCTCTGTCTGTCTGGCGAGCGCACGCGCCCTATAGTGAAAACCTCTCCAAAAAAAAAAAAAAAGGCAGGGTCCACGACAATTTTGTTTATCATTATATGCCTAACGCAGGTGTTCATTTGCTGAATAAATGAACATAAAAGTTATTTGCCACATACCTTAACTATGAGTCAAGGTACCTGAATCCTATATAGTCAGAGAATGGGCAGATTGGAAGAAAAGAAATAAATAATCTGAAAACATAAGTTATGGCCTAACCACAGGATAGAGGAGCCTGAA